CATTACACATAAAAAATGATTTTGAACTGAAGCCATATTAAACTAAATCTCATCTTATGATTATTGGATCCATGTCATATTAGCAAAAGGTCTAAGACTATTGGTCAACCAGACTGAAAATTAATACTAATTTAAGAATTATCTATCGCTTCCAAAATGTCCAATACTCCACTTCAATAGGTAATATTAAATATTCAAACAAATGATATATGAGTTTCAACCCTTGCTCAAACTTTTTTGACAAAAAAAATCCCCCCCCCCCCCCCACACTCGCACATATTTGCAAAGAAATACTAAATCCCAATTTCTTTTTCACTTTACTTGCTTATAAAGTTATTGTTGACATTGTTTGTTATTACTGCAAGCTATAAAAAAGACTTTTCAGCTATGAAGTTAATCAAGAATGATTTTATAAATGAATTTTAGTTGTGTATACATTGAAAAAGGTTTGAGCCTCAAAATAAACAATGAATGTATTTTATAAACCTTTTAGAATATGAGCAGTCACGCGTTGATGTGAGAAACTACTAATTAATTCAAATTTTATATGTTATTTTTAGAATATTTTGTTTTATTTTTATCAAATGACGCATTTCACCATGAAACATGTGTTCACCAATATAAACTGTGTGGTGCTCGCACTTGTGCGAGAGCCCTTGAAGTTTAAGTCTGGTACGACCCATAAAGCATTCATGCTTGTACATGACCGATCCATATACATTGTCTTCGTGGTATGCTCTAACTATGCCCTGCTAGCTCGACCATGTGCCTAGGTATAGTTATATGCATTATAATAATCAAGTTTCTACCTATTCACAACACCAAGATAAAAACAGTCATAAATGCACTCAGTATTCGATTTTGACTACCTGATGAAATACTATATTTGAATAAATTACAACTGATGTCACAAATAATAATTATACCTCTAAATCATACATACAATATTTCAAACATCACAAATATTAAGATTAAATTAATTATTATAAAGAGTAAAAATTGTATAATGAGGTTAATTATAACACATTTATATGTTCATGCTCTATAAATTGATCAACAGATTCGATCCAAAACTGACGAAATGAACATCACATTAAACTCGATATCATCTCATTATTTTCGGGTCCATTCATTCCCGATTAGCAAGAGTTTAACGTTTAACAGTTAACCATACTAAAATTTTAGAGAACCAGTCACCTATAGTTTATAAAAATATTATTGTTTCGTAGTAGTTTTGAAAATTCATATTAATTTAAAGATTTCTACATCGCTTTTGCATATTTAATACTGCAGTTCGATATGCAATATTTCAAGCAATGAAATTTGTGTTTCAATTTTAAGATTACCCGTCATTTTATAGGTTATAAAAATTATAAATAACGTATTAAATTTTACTTTTCAAAAGATTTAATAGGCTAGCTGACCGTGAAAAGCCCTCTGCTTTTTAAATCTTCGCTTAGTGCATGTTTACAATTTATGAAGATAAAAACAAATTTGTATAGTGTAATTGGTTGTGATTATTGTTTTTGTTTGAAGAGACCATGGTTCAAATCTTGATATTGATATTTTTTCATATGAAGTAGATAATAATTATGATGACAAAAATACTCTTCCTACTTTCACTCTCGCTTCACGAAATTTGAAATAGAAAATTTTAAAACATTGAATATATCTTATAGAAAGAGCTTCTTCAACCAAGTAGGATAGGTAGTTTACCTGAAATTATTATATCTTATAGAAAGTGATTAATTGTGAAATCGGACCTCAAGTAACATTGATTCAAACATTAAATAATAAATTGTATGTGTGATTGAGTTTAGATAAAAGGGCTAATACCACTACAACACCCGAACTATCGACAAAATGCCACTTGTATCCTATTTTATTCAATATTCCATTCATGTCCTCAACTATGATACTTTGTGCCATCTGTATCCTATCAATTTCGTTGACCGTTAAAGATAACGGTTGACCAAACGGTGGTCAACGCCAAGTTGACTTTTGTTGACGTGGCAAAAAATGCGACTGCCACATAGATGCCACGTCACTGACCTCAGATTTTTTTAATTCAAATTAAATAAAAATTGAGTTAAAATAAAAAAAATCATTGCATCTGTTCCCCAAAATTTTCCCATAAAAAAAAAAATTTCCCGGATCGAGAAATCCCTTCCACCTAACAAATCTTCGTTTGTGATTACAGATCTGTTCCCAAAGTTTCTTTTCTCTCATCCCTCTCCTTATTCTATTATCCACACTTGCCTTCACCATCTCCACCCAGCAATCAGACAGATTCATCTTCCATGGCTTCAGCAATCGAACCAGCAACCAGCAGCAGCTGCTCAGGCTCGACGGAGCTGGAGAGATTCTCACCAACTTCGCCTTTGCCATGGTCCCGAAATCCCCAAATCTCGGCGGCCACGACCTGGCTTTTTATGCTCACCGGCTGTGGATTTCTCACACGTCGTCGCCAACCAGCACTCGAATAACCAGTTGGCTCCCCTAATTCTCCTCCCTGGAATCGGATCTCTCCGATCTGTAATTTTGATGGAGTTGAGGGTGAGAGAAGAGGAAGAAGTTGGGAGCCTGTGAGGAGATTTGGTTCAGATTTAGGTTTTGGAGCGGGAGAGCGGCGACAAGCCATCCGGGGAGAGGAAGTTGGGGTTTCATCGAGGAAGAGGAATTTGATTTTCTTTCTCTTGGTTTGCTTCTGTTGCTTCTTGCTTGTAGGAACTTCGTTTTTGTTCGTATTTGGTGGATTCAGAATCGCTAGGGCAGATTATTTGGTTGTTTGACTACTTCGTTTTGGCGGATTCAGATTTGGTGAATGAGGGAGATGAATTACCGGAGGAGGTGTCGGCGACGCAGACGTCTTGGAGCATGTCGGGGTTGGAGGCGAAGCAAGCGGCAGAGATGGCGGAGAAGACGAGGAGGTAGGAGAGGAGAGCGGTGGGGGCCATGGCAACGCGGTGGTCGGAGGAGGAAGAGAAGCGACGGAGCTGGCTCTGCTCAGAAGCGGCAGAGAAGTTGCGGAGAGGAAAAAGAGAATTGCTTTAAGTTTTTGTTTTTATTTTTTAAATTTTTTTCTTCTTATTTTAGTAATTTTGGATAGAAAAATAAATAAAATTTTGATTTGAAATTCCACGTCAGATGCCACATCAACGCTGACTAGGATTTCTGTTAAATACTAACGGTCAATGCTGGTCAACACTAACGGAAAAATAGTTCAGGACACAGATGGAATATTGAAAACAGTAGGACACAAGTGGCATTTTTCGGATAGTTCGGGTGTTGTAGTGGTATTAGCCCTAGATAAAATACATATGTGTAGCCAAAACATGGATCTTTGTGACAGATATAGTAATTTTTTGTCACAAATCTATACATAATATAAAGATAAATTGGGCACTATGACGAAAAAGAGTTTCCTAGAATCACTCTCAAGCCACGAAATTTGAAATGAGACTCTCATTTTCCAATTTTATCATTATATTATATGTAGATTTGTCACAAAAAAAAAATGATTATACTCGTCACAAAGGTCCATGTTTTGGTTACACTTCTGTATTTTGTCTAAACTAAATAACACATACAATTTAATATTAATGTTTGAATCAATACTACTTGAGTTCTGATTTCAGAACTAATTTCTTTCTATAAAATATAAATAACTTAAGATAAAATATAAATATAGAAGCATCATCAGCAAACATATTCCTTGAGTTTAATAAAAGAAATAACAATAAATGAAACGTAGCCTAGTTGGTTATTATGCTCTTTCTTTATTCAATGTTCGAACTCTAATGATAACATTTTTAATATATAAACATGAACTGGGTGCAATGACAAAAATAACCTTCCTAGAATCACTCTCAGGCCACGAAATTTGAAATAGAAGAATTCCAACCCATGTGTTGCCATTATATATTTTGTAGACTTCATTGCTTATTTAATTATTTTAATCATTAATTAACTTAATAATCAATTACACCACTCTTTTACGTCACTTTATTTCTATATTGATTTTTTTCCCAAAATAAAATTAATTAGTTTAATAATTAAGTCCACCTATTATGATAGACATCATTGACCAATTTAATTACTAACTTCGCTCATTTTTAATACATGTAATACAAGAATGAAATGTAGCATTGACTTAAAACCCGCATTTTACTATTACATAATAAATTCATAAGTAAAAATATAATATCAACAAATAATCAAATTATTTTACTATTACATAACCAATAAAATAAAATATTCATCACACTTTCCAATACACATTTTCCTTCACAAAACAACATTTTTCTTCTAATTTCCTTCTCCTCCAAATCTCCCTTCCCTTCCTAATTTTCCTTCACCTCCCCTCCTTTTCCTCCCTTCCTTCGGAAACAACGTGTAAGTGATATGACGGATTTCTTATTCAATTACCACTTGCCAAGCACTAGGGATGTCAATCCAACCCGTAACCATGGGTACCCTACCCGACCGTAACTGGTCAACGAGGGTAATTACCCGCTTTGACGAGTTAAGGGGCGGGTACGGATAATACCCGATTTCAAAATAAAGGGTAGGGTACGGATATGGTAATCGATATTACCCGCCCTGTTATACCCGCCCCGCAAACCAAAGCGTCAATTTCCCTAGCCCTCTAACCCTACCCAACAATCGATTTTCCTTGCCACACACAAGTGAGGTGCTTGCTTAGGCTTTTCTTGAAACTTTACTTGCTTGGGATATTGACACAAAGGTATCTACGATTACCTTGGATAGTTGTTCTACTAATGATGCCTTGATGGATGTCATGAAGCATAAGTTAAGCAGTGAGCATTTGATGTGGTCTAGTTCTAATATTGTCTTTGCTGTTTTTGTTTGTGTGGAGTGTTGAAACTAGAACAAATATGATGTATTGTGTTTTTGTTTGTGTGGATTGTAGAAGCAAGAACAATTATTATGTGTTTGCTGTTTTTATTTGTGTAGATTGTTGAAGATAGAACAGTTATAAGTATTGAGAATTTTTAATGGACAACAATATGTATGTCAGTATGTGCATATATGTGTATAAGTTCATATTTTAGGATTTTGTACTCATGGTTACCCGAATACCCGTGGTTACCCGGTGGGTAGGGTATTGTTCATATCATTTTCATACCCGATGGTTATTTGGTCGGGTATTTTAGGAGGCTCTACTCGACGGGTTAGGAGTTGGTATAGGGTAAATCCGCACCCGGCCTACCTATTGCCATCCCTACCAAGCACGCAAAGTTTAATGTAGCTCATAGAACTACGGATGAATATACAAATCTTTATACAACTTATGAGAGCCTTGATTCATTAAGGTATTGTCAACCCTTTTCCTTCTTTGAGGAGGGGGATATGATTTATATAGGTTACATTTATCCAACTATGAAGGGACATTGAAGTGGAAGAGCCAAGAAATCACAAACGCAAACACCATACAAGCCAGGAGGATGTTGAGGAACCGATGCCCCTGCCAGAAATGTCTACCTGCGTCTGCTGCCGGCTGCCCTGCTGCTGCTACTGCTGATGCCGCTACCGCTGCCGCATCAATGCCCTCATTCCATTGCTCCACCATCGTATCCTCCTCCGTCGCTCCGGCCACGTTCCGTGCTACCGATCCACATATCTCGCAGGTTCTGCAATAACACAAGAACCAAATTAGCAAGCAGAGTTCACTTCACAACTTAAGGCTCTTTGGGTACTCCTACAGTTAGATCTGATATTCAAGCACAAATTGAAATTGCAGCACACTTCCTTTTTAATCGCCATAAACCCAAGAACTTACTAGTAAAAGAAATGACAATTTTGTGACAGGTGATCGGAAAGCACATTCCTTTAACACCAAGGATGCAACCACTGGTCAAATTGAATCTATTTGGAGCAAAACCCACTAACCCAAAAGCCAGCCACAAAATTGGGTAAAGTGCTAAAAAGGGTAATTGAAAGTAATAAAGTGGGAGCATGAATTTGCATACTTGTTACCCTTGATCTTGAACCAAGCCTCAGCACAATGCTTGTGTACAGCAGCCAAATCGTCTTTACAAGAGCAACCCAGGTCAATCGGGAAGCCAGAGTCCTCTTCCCCTGCATCCAAACCCAGATGACAAATCCGGCAATCCCTCTCCTCCACATTATCACCCAAATGCAGCTGCTTCCCCTCATCATCAATCTCAAGTCCAAGCTCCAGATCTACATCCTCCGATGACGAAGATGAAGTTCCCCTCCTCCTACCCGCCTTCAAAATCTCATCGCCAGAGTCACTGCTGCAGCTCTTCTCCTGCTCTGTTTCTTCTTCTTCATCTTCCTCCTCGCGGAGAGAATGGTCGCCGCCACTGTTTTCTGTTTGTTGCTGTGGTTGTGGTGGTTCATCGTCGGTGGATGCAATCAGGGGTTTGTGGGAACTGGAAGCAGCATCCATTGGAAGAAGAGTGGGATGGGAGAGACTTCATGTATTGAGGAGAGGGGAAAGGAAGAGGGGGAGATCATAAATCAATGCTCCCCTCTTCTTCTTCTCAAAGAACAGAGGGTTAGTTGTTGTTCTTATAGATGAAACTTAAAAGAAAAATGGGCTGAAGTGAAACGATACCAAGTTATGATTTTCCTTCCTCTGCTACTGTACAGAGACCTGCTACTTACTCTTTCTCTCCCTCTGTGTCAGTGAAGACTGCAGAAAGAGCAGAACTTGGCAGCGGAGGAAGGGAAACGGGGAGAGAGAGATTCGTGAAATGAGAGCCAAATAGTTAATTACAGGGACAAGGAGTGGGGGGAAAGATAATGATATGAGAAATGGAGGTGTTTGTTTTCTTCTTGTTTCGTGACTAGTTTTATTTATACTTTGATTTAGGGGAATTCTGGAGGTTGATTGAACTGAGCTGTTACTTACAGCAGGATCAGATGCATGTTTCATGTGGTCTTAATTACATAAAGATATATACACATACATACTTCCAAAATTTCAAAAAGTGGAGTACACAAAAAAACCTGTTTTAGAAAGTCTGTCCGCGATGCATTCGGATTGTGCATTGATGGTGTCGAAGTGGAGAAAACGAAATCCTGATGAAAACAGAAGACAGGAGGGCATGTAACACCTTCGCGACTCTCTAACTAGCTTGCTTTCAAGAGTATCGGTCGAAAGAAAGTAACCCGACAAGAGAAATTTTACAATGCTATATAGTATTGGTGCTATAGGTTTTTGTCTTTATGATACAACTTGAAATTGTACATTTAACGTTGTGGTACAACTTTAGATTATACCTATACTGTTTGTACAAATTCTTTTATGGTACAACTTGAACTTGTACCTTTATGTAATGGTAGAACTTCAAGTTGTAAAGTTGTACCATAACATAATGGTACAAATTCTTTGGGATTTTTCCAAAAATTGCACCTTTAAAAAAAATTACAAAACTAGCACCCATATGAAAAAATTGACAGAAATATCACCAATTTTTTGGAACGCACCATAGGAGTGCGTTCCAGCTTACGAAACGCACTAGGGCGGTGCGATTTAATGCTGCTGCGGAACGGTCTTCAAGACCGTTGGATGGAGGGGCGATCGGGCGGCTGAACGCTTGCCAGCGGAGCGATGCGCGCCACGGATCGAGGATCGCACGCCCGAGATGCGGTCAACCCTAGGGAAGCGCAAAATGCATCGGGAGGGAGCTGTTTAGCTTTGGGCAAAATTACCCGACCGCCCCTGGAGGGTGCGGTCTGATGGGTATAAATACCCCCCCCCCTTCCCCTCTCATTTCTTCACACCACAACCCATTCTTCCTTCTCTCTCTACAATTTATCTCTCTAAACCCTCCCCTCCCAAAAGCCTAGGAAATAGTGGTATGTTGGTTGCGGCTAAGTCCGATCTGCCATCAGAAAACATTTCTTAGGTTTTTTCATTCAAAACTCGCCGAGCCGAGCCGAAGCTCTGTCCGAATTGCGCCGAAAAAATGGCCGATTGGTGGCAAGGAGAGGGAGTTTATGTTGATGAATTTCAAGCGGTACGTACTCATTATTCTGGTTTAATTTTTGTTGTTGTTATAAGCTTTTTAATTAATCTATGTACTAACCTCGTTGTTATTTTCTCGTAGGTTGGGGAGAACGTGGATATATACAACCAACGGTATTATCTCGAGCAAGGACCGTTGGATCCAACCGACTTGTACGACCAACCCAACCATCGGTCAAGGGATGTTTGGAACGCTCACCCGGTACATACAATTCTTTACCATTTGTCCTTCTTTTATTTTGTTAATGTATTTAGTGGAATATAAAATAAATTTATGTTGAATTTTTAATCGTGTTGGTTGTTTTCAATAATTTAATCGAATACATAGCGACACTTACTTCGACTCTTTATAAAGAGATGCACGTCTAAGGAAATGGGGTTTTAAGCGATTATCATATCCTCCCATTCCCTGGGAAAATCGGGTATTAAGAGATTCTCGGATCCCCCCTTTTTCTGTCAAAAAGAATGTGTTTCTAAGAAGATGTATACCTCTTCTAAGAGTCTAACGAGTGTTGCTTTGTATTCGATTAAATTATTTAAAACAACCAACACGATTAAATTATTTACCAAACAACCAATATGATTTATTTTGATGTGTACAAAATGAATTTTATTAATTTCAAACATTTGAATATGTATGTTTCTCTTTAAATTATTATTCATTAACAATGTCATTTATTTTAGTTAATTTAGTATGTTTGTTTTACGATAATATGTATCTATCTCTTTAAATTATTATTCATTTAGAATGCTATTATGTTAATTATATGAAATGTCTTTTTATGATAATAAAATTCTGCTTGAAGTTAAATAATTTAATTTAATTAATTTAGTTATAAGGAATAAACCCTTACTAATATATAATAATTAACGTGTAAATTTTCCCTAGGAGGCACAAACAATAATCCGCTACAGGGGTACGACCAATCTTCTCGTGCCATCCATGCAAGTAACGTTAGTGCACATTTGATGGAGGTCTTCAAGCAGCGGTCTGGTAGCGACCGTTATCTTCTGAAAATTGCCACCTATGTAGGTGACCCCCTTTCCAGTCTCTTCCGTATAACCATTCCACTGTAAGCCAAGCGTGAACTTTTGGAATGCCATCTGCGATAAAACCGTAGTTCAGTTAATATCATAAAAATCAAAAATAAAAAATAACAATAAAAAGTAATACTAAATAAACTTACGAGTTAACGTTAATCGCAAAACTACTAAAGAAATATAGAGCTACAACAGAAAATTGAAAAGGGAGAAGGAGAGGTGTGAAGAGAAGTGGTTGTCCAGGAGGCCTTTTATAGGCAAAATCACTGATGAAAACCTTAGAGGTTTTCATCTGCCATGCAGGCCCATGCAGACCCACGTCTGTTACGTCTGCATGATATGTCGGAAATTGATTGACCAAAACCGCACCTCCAAGGTGCGGTTTGTATGGCAAAATCGCACCATGAGGGTGCGGTTTTGTTTGGGAGAAACAAACCGCACCTTCATGATGCGGTTTAAATAGGTCAGGCCAAAACCGCACCTCAGCCAAGCGGTTTCTGTAGGTCAGACCTAAAAACGCTTGGCCAAAATGCGGTTTTGGTCCAGAAATAGGGAACGCACCTTAAGTTGTACATTAAAACACCAATATTATATAGCATAGTAGAAATGCTCAACCCGACAATACCACATATGAGATGTTAATGCTGGTCGCATGTCGCAAAATGGTATGGACATCTACAAAACGTGTATCCGACTGTTTAGCTAAACTTAGCTTAGAATTTGTGTATATCTCTTACGTTGCCAACCAATCATAAGTTTAGAGAATAACTCCAATGTGAGAGACGTAATTCTTTGTTATTAAATATTTTTTCCTTCACTCACTAGTTTATGGAACTCTACCGATTGTTTACTAGTTTTCAGCTTTGATACTCCAGGAAAAAGGAAGAAAAATGACGAAGGAATGAAGCCAAATAAAAAGATGAGAAGTAAGCTTCTCATTTTGTAAAGTTGCAAATAATTGCTATCTTCCCACAGACAGCAAAGGTAAAATTTTAGGTATCGAAAGGCAAGTTTCCCATTTGCTCTCTTTTCGCTTTGCTTTTGCAGTTGCTGGCTTGCTGCTGTCCTTTTGTCATTTGCATCACGAACCTATGCGGCTGTACCGTCGCGCTCTTAACTCGGAAACTCGCCCATGATTGTTGACCAAACTCGGTCCACTTTTATGCTCGTCAAAACCCAGTTTTACCCTCTTCAACCTCCGGCAATCCCAATCCCAGTTAATGAATTATGCCTCTCCAGGCAAGGGTAGATTAGACTTTGTGAGAAGATAGAGAATGGGAAAGAAAAAGGTACTGCAGATACATGAGCAGCAGCTGCCTCATCATTGTTCATAAAATGCAATGCTGCTTTCCTGCTTTATTTCTCCTACCAGAGATGGCCTATGTCAGGAAGCTAACTCAGCATCTTTTTAATTCTCTGCAATTTTGTGAATTTGGTGACAGCATTTGCTTAATTATATCTAAAAATCTCTAGAGGTTAAATTTTGAAGCTTCAAAGCTACCAACACAAATCCACACTGCAGATATGACTAAGGCCGTAGAAGTGACCTCGTAAACGTGCACAAAACCACTCGAAATGATGATCAAATGGACTTGCAGAACATCCAAAACGGTCATCCGTGGGAAGTGAATGCAGCCAGGCACCTCGAACACGACTGTGCTCGATCTGCACGACAGCCAACTTGGCTGCAAAGTCGAAGAAGGCGAATGAAAATGGAGCAGCAACAAAGTTTCGTGCGGCTTCAAGCACATCCAAGCACAGGCCTGTGGAACCATCAAGACTGCCAAACACGAACATGTCTCCTGTTGTGCCATCTTACCTGATCCGCATTTGAGACCAACCCCGGATGAAAGATGAACATAAACACATTATTGTGTTTCACAAGGCGGAACAAATTCGCAAAAATAAACATCTCAATCAAACACCGCCCACATCAGGAAAACTGTTAAGGTACAAACAAGATAATCACAATTCCAGTAAGTTTTCTCTGTGCATGGTTATGAAACATCTAACTTATCCGAGTTTTCAAACGTCCCTAACTTGGGAGAAGCTATAGACAAGGTTCACTGCTTAGTAAAAGCCAAAAGCAAACCCCCTTGCAGTTACCATCAGTAACATATCTGGGACTCTATAAGCCAATTTTAGGAAGATACATGTGCCTCTGTTCGAAAAAAATAATCATATGAAGTAAACGGTAGTACCGGCCATGATGAAAGACTCTGTACTTTTCCTCCCCGAGAAGGGATATCTCAGAATACGAACATTTAGCTGCATGGTTTACTAGCTCAAGCTTTCGACTTCAGCTCTCATTGCTAAAGGTCTAGCAGGCATATAGTTCGACATATGATCTGCCATCGTTCCGACAAACTTGGTTTGACCGTCCATATGGCCATGTCTGAAGTTCTGTTCAGGAACTCCCATTTGTGAAGGTGCTTGAGGGGTGATAGGGCTTGCAGCAGCACTGCCTGGTAAGGAACTGTTATTACTGTTCTCAATCCCACTTTTTATCCAAGCTATGTTGTTCAAATCTGTGGCGATCGAGATTAGCTCATGACTTGAGAAAGAGGGGAGTGATGAGTCTTCATAGTCGACAAACTCGGGTCCCAATAGTGAGCTCCCAGACTGGCTACCACCACTTGGTGTTGAGCAGCAACCAAACCCACATTTTGAAGGAACCATCGGCTCGCTGCAAATACCTTCAAGTAACTTTCCAATTCCAGAGTCGGATTTTGAAGCTTGGATTAAAGGTTCTTGGTCTGGAATTTGCCGTGTGCGACAGGCTGGGCTGCTGGCTTTTCGGCCATTGGGAGGAACGTAAACACTGAATGCACTGACTCTTGCCACAGGACGAGGAAGGCTAGGAGGCTGTTCCTGGGATATGACGGCGGCATAGTGAACTACATCCTGCGTTTTACAAATCTCCTCATCCATCTGGGTTCTTTCTTCCATTGCAACATCTCTTTGTTCAATGGGCTTTAGTGAATTACTTTCACCAACTGAAGGAGTCTCTTCTGAAGATGATGTCTTTGCTCTGTCATAGCTACCATTTTCCATCAACATCCCATTGATAGCTGCACGTTTGAATGTTGGTAGCTCAGAATATCTGCGCCTTAGAGTTGAATTCCAGTGGTTCTTAATTGCATTGTCGGTTCTACCAGGGAGTAGTTTTGCGATTACTGCCCACTTGTTTCCGTGGACAGCATGAGCTGAAATGATGATTCTGTCTTCTTCATCTGCAATGTTGTAATACAAAATAGAGTCATAAGCCATATGATAGCATATTAAGCAAAAACAGTTGAGAATGAACAACTGATCAAAGGGGAATTTGTCCTATTATTGTGATAGGGCTCATCAAAGGTTTCCATGTCTTATCACCACAAGCGTAGAGCACTATCAAGAGATTAGAAGCAGCAGAAGGCAATGTGTACATTAATTAGGGCCCATCCAGGGAGAACTTCTCAGTGATGGACAGAATCTAATACATCTTGAAGAGTATAATTATATAAACATACATCTCTGATTTCTTTAAACCAATGAACTGGAATTGCTTAAAGAACCATCTCTCTAATGCTTACTCGCTTGGATCTCTTCAATAACGAGGATGACAATCAGATGCAACACAAGCAGTTGTGCCATCCAGCATGCAGCCACAATGTCACAACAGTACAATGAAGGTAACTAAGCATGACATATGAAGCATTAAGATATGCTCTAAGGTCAGAGATAGCAAACAAACAGTACCATAACACTATCAAAAAAGAAATAAGCTATTTTATCGAAGACACCATGCTTGAACTTGAGAAACATTATTTCGCTTTAAATCTGCCGTTCCCACATCTATAGCACCTTCACAGGTACCTGATCCGTCATCTTCTTCAGTCAATACATTGCTGACTCCACAAGCTAAATATAGGACAAGATGCATAACCTCCAATACGTGCCCCCTTATAAAGGATTTGAAGACTAAAGTCATTATCAGTCACCATGAAAATAACTAACATAAACGTGACTACCGAGTCAGCTTCTGGGTTCTTCTTTCCCGTGAATGAAGCCTAGCGTTTCTCTAGCAGTTCAGCTGGACACACGCTCAAGTCTACACATGGTTGAAACACATTCAATACTAGTCAATGGAAGATAGCCGAAGAGGAATGATGATTGAAGACCACTAAAATAAGCTGATCTTAACTTTGTTATCCGCCTAAAAAAAACTCGGCCTGAGCATCAAACCCACTAAGAAACCCATCTCAACAACACAATTCATGAATGATCTCCAAACAATGGTGATCCAAATCATTTCCGCAAAACTAAGAGGCAAGCTGAAACTATCAAACAGTTCAACACCCCGAAGAAAATTCCCACACAATCAGGAAAAACAAGCGAAAGGGATATCGCACAAGCAAGATCGAAAGAGCAAAAGCCCTTTGAGAAAACCTAAAACCCCTTCTGGCTGGAAAATGCAAGGCAGAGACAGAGAGCGGCAGCGGCAGCGAGATTTAGGCGCAGAAAAAAGCTTACCAGTGAAAGGCTTCCGTTTCAAACAAGGGTCAAGCTGGTTACACCAACGAAGCCTGCAAGATTTACCGGACCGGCCTGGAATCCCCCGAGCGATCAAGCTCCAATTCCTTGCCCCGAACTTGCTCACCAACTTACCTAGCACCTCGTCTTGCTCCGGCGACCAGGGTCCCTTCACCCTACTGTTCACCACCACTCCCCCGCTTCCACCTCCGCCGCCTGAGTCCCCGCCACAACCCGCAACGTCTGACGACCCACCACCTCGACCGTCACCAGTTGCGGGAGACGATTCCACCACGTTCCCGGTCTCCTCCTCATCCTGCGCCGCTGCCATCGCTTCATCACCACCGTCTCGGCTCCCCATTCTCTCTCTCTACTGGTTTTGAATTTTGGTTTTCCTTGTACCTACCTTTCTAACTGCAAATGGGGCAGAGAGAGAGAGTTTATTGGGCTGATGTTTCGGGTTTATGATTCCCCATTTCCAGGTTACTGTAAAGGCGGTTTCGTTAACAAAATTACCTTCCTGCCCATGAAGCCGGCATCGTTTCGCGCCGCTTTTATTTTATGCCTTTGGCCTTTGGGTATCATGATAGCATCGATTTGACCAACCGTTGACTTCGAGCGATGGATTGTGGAGGAGGACGGTGGTGAGTTTACGATTCTGGCCCTGACAGCTGGTGGCTTAGTGCTTAGGAAGGCGAGGTTTTCCGGTAATGTGGCATTACATTCTGTTATTTCGTGGGACCCAGACGCACGGCGGTTTTAGCGTCCCGCTTTCCGACCTGAAAAACAAAATTCAGTTCATCACGGATCTGGTCCAGCCCGCTAGCAGTAGGCCCATCTCCCTTGTCCGGCCCAAATGATTTCTTCCTCTCCTCAATAGGCCCAGTATTCTTCTCTCGTCGTCCACCCGCCTTCAGAATCCAGGCACAGGCAGCCGAGCCAGAAGTGTGACAAAGCCATGATCCTCCGAGCTCAATAAAAAAGGCGGCCCAGCTTCTTACGGGTCTGATCTGTTCGGCCTTTTTTTAATATTTTTTTATATCCTTTGCTCGGTGACGAACGATATGATTTTGTTCAAAGTTTTTTTAGGGGTCGGTCGGAGGTTGTGATTTCAAACAATGTATTTAGCCAATGCATGTAATGTCAAGATTAAGTCGTTTTTTTTGTTAATTTTTTTCTCTCTCGGTAATTAGCAGATTCCATTTTAAGCACTCTCCTGGCCAAAACAACACAAGAGTTTCGAAAAATACAGAGGCCCAAGGCCCACCCTTCTCTTACAAACCAAGAAACTAGAAAGCTATCCAGCAACAAAACACTACAACAACTAGTAGTTAATTGAAGCTGGGTAGTAAAATCTGGATGACCACACACATAAAGGCGAATCTCTTCCCTGATCAGTTCTGTAAACACTTGAATCGGACGAGGAGGCTCTCTGAAGACCCTTCTATATCTTTCCTTCCACACACCACTAATACACCAGCTCCAAATAGAGCTTTCTACTAGTCCACAACTTCTGTGATCTTGATGCGTTTGATCATGAACAGCAACATAGCAGACCATTCTCTATGAGTCTGCATTCTGTACCTCAACACCCCAGCAGCCACATCCTGCATATACTGACATTGACAAAAGAGATGAGTACGGCATTCTTCAGCCAGATCACACAATGGACATACACTGTCAGATATCAGTCCCCAACTTTTGAGCTTGTCTCGAGTATTGATCCTGTCTAACACAATCAACCAAATCAATACACTATTCCTCGGCAACATAAACTTATTCCACACTACCTTCCACCATTCTTCCTTTGGTTATATTTGTAATAGAATACATGTATAATTTTTTTCTGGGCCCATCAACAATCACTCAAAATGAGTGATTATCAGTCTCTACCAAAAGACGAGATTGTGACCAAGGGATTGTCTACCCTCTATTTTTTTCATTTATAACAAAGCACAATGTAAACCTCCAAACAATATATTTTTCAAATTCATACATTTCGTCAATACATCAAATGACAATATACAAATTGATTAAATACTCCAATTTGGAGAATCCCAACCTCCAAACAACCCCTTAGTACCTACCTACACAATGATTCAAGCTTCCAAAATTATTAGGGTTGACTTCATATTGAAATTATGGTGTTTCACTATGATTTCTACTTTTGGTATTTTCATAATTTATAAGGGCCTCCCTCCAGCAATCTATACCCTAAAAGCTTAAATATTAAAGAGATAAATTTTTTAGATTTATCCTATTATCATAGTTGATTCATTTTTTTAGAATTATCCTATTAATTTATCACTTTATATATCATAAAAAATGGAGTAGGATTTAGTCATAACAAGTATTGTTAAAATAGAATATACAAAGGAAAAAAATACAAGATAGAGTACAGATCGACTTAACATAATCAATGAAATAGAACACCAGATACATGAAATCAAGACATATATAGAATCAGGTTCCTGTCATACTCTAGCTAGGAACATTTCCAAGTCAAGTGAGACCAAATTGATCAAAAGGAATCCAAATGCTCCTCTTACTACTTCCAGGAAGTAACAGACACAAAAACACAAGAAGAAAGATGGCTGGAGGAACATTTACTAAGGTTAGGGTGCTCAATGCCATGTGCTTGGACACCAACCCCACCAATCCTCTTTTCGTGAGAGAAAACCTAATGAGTAAAGGTGATGTTGGTTGTGGTCACAGACCCAATTTGGTAACACAAATATGAACTAGACATATTCATACCTACCTTGTCTCACTCATATTTGCCACTCCACTAGCTACCAGATACTGGCTTAGTTTATATCACCAAGGCCTTTCTTCAAAAAGATTGGTGGGAAGATATCGTATTGATTCAAACAAGTCATGGCCGGTGCGTTCTGATTCTCATAAATCTTGTCAGTGTCCCTTTACCTATTTTTCCTCAGAAAGATGCCTAATATCCAGCTAATTTGGTTGCGTTTTGGGTCAAAAAATAGTAACTACCATCCTTTAGCTAAACAAATTTCGGCATCTGACATAGTATTTGAATTGGTTATTGGTCTCATTCATGAGAAAACCTAATCAATTAACAATATATTGTGTCATAAAAAATGGATATCTATCATCATCAGCATTTACAATGTTTATGATATGAAGGCTTTAAATTTTAGGCTAAGTACATAGTAGTTGGATACAAGTAGGACATCACTTCTTAAATTCAATCCAAAAAATCTTCTCCGGCTAGCCTCTTATTTTTAAAAGAACAAAAATCAAGAGCAAATCTTGTCTGCACACATTCATAAAGTAAAATAAAATAAAAAAAATTTGTTGTATGATCAAGAATCGCATACATATATAGGATTATAGGGAGACCATAAAATTGAAGATGAACTTTGAGTAAAACATATTGTCGCAACCGTCCTTTCGGGGTTCGTCGGGGGTCGCGTTCGCTCTATGGGAGTCGCCATCTGTCGCAACCGTCCCTCCAGGGTTTGTCGGAGGTCGCGTTCGCTCTATGGGAGTCGCCATCGATCTTATTTGGGGTGGATCAAACACTCTTCGCGTCGGGTCTACCTTAGGGTCAGAACCGAGATATGGTTTGCGGTTAAGAGATTCGGGTTCGGGAGTACGATTACATGTGGGGAAGTGAAATCACACCTTACAACGCTCTAAATCGGTACTACTTAAATTTGATAAATTTTATATTAGTTGGGTGTATTTTTAGTAATAATTTGTAATTTTAGGGTCCCACTGGACAATTAAATAATTTTATTGTATTAGTTTAAGATTTAATTATACGCCCCGTGATGTAAAATTTAAAGATAAAGTTAGTTGATTAGTTGGACTCAAACCTTGTCGGTTGTCTATGTACCCGTTAGACGGGATCAAAGTCCACGTAGTTTGTTAGAAACTTTGACCATTTTAATTATAACTTTTAGCACGTTCCACTGAACGTAATTCTCGTATTATAATTTTGTTAATAAAACTTCATTTAGATTATTATGAGGTTATGACAATAAATGCAAGGATTTTAGTTATTAGGAAGTATTTTGACGTATTGGAAAAGAAACGAGATAAACTTAATCCGCATTCAACATTTCGTATTAAGGACTTTAAACAAATAAAAGAAAGCGGGGTGATCATAATAATACATGATGGGTCAGCAGTCCAACCGGTTAAGTTGTTAGGCAGAGACTGCATTTGTTCTTTGGAAGGATATATAAAACGTCTTACACTAAAAAAACGAAACCCTAATCTACTCAAATTCGGCCGCCTCTAGCCCACTCTCTCGCCTCTCTCTTTCTCGATTCTTCCCTCACCCTCGCCTCCCTTCTTCTCTTCCAGAGAAGCAAAACCCAAGCCGCCTCTCGGTCTTTTGGAAGAATATATAAACGTCTTACACTAAAAAAACGAAACCCTAATCTATTCAAATTCGGCCGCCGCTAGCCCACTCTCTCGCCTCTCTCTTTCTCGATTCTTCCCTCACTCTCGCCTCCCTTCTTCTCTTCCAGAGAAGCAAAACCCAAGCCGCCTCTCTTCAAACAGTTGCCATCTTCTTCTCCTCTCACTCTCTCGTCTCTCTTCCACCATAGACCGAAACCCTAGCTCCCAATCGTCTTCCTCTTGTACCCTCTCAATCCGTCGTCGCTCTCGAATCTGGCCAGGAATCCTAATCGACCGTGAAGGGGAAATCGATCCAGGTAAAAAACTCAACATGCATGCTTCCTGGTTTCTAGTTTTTCTGATTTTTTGTAATCACATTGTAAACCTTGTTTTGGGAATTTGCAATTATGATTTTATTTTGAGTTTGAGAATGTAACTCATGGGCATGTATTATGATGTAGAGATTCGTCATTAGATTTGTATGTTCTTATCTTAATTGGTCAAACTTTCCCTCGTCTAACCTTTGTGTAAATCCCCAACGTCAAAACCTTGATCACCATAACCAAAACATTAGCTCTAAAAAAATTTAGTTACTGCCAATCCAAGAATAAAATAAAATAATCCAATCTAAGTATCAAATATGAGTGAACTTGGTATTATTGGTGCTTATTGACCCGCAATTGCTAAGTAGTAAAGGAATTTGGAAATTATTGGTATTTATTGACTTTTCATTGCTAGTTTCAACCAAATTATTTTAAACTTCCTTTCCAAATATCATTGTGATGCTACAATTAGTTTTTTTTAATTAGCATAATTGCCCAGACAAAATGTGGTGTCTACAGTTGCCCCCCTTTGTATAACTTTTTGGATAAAGAGTTATACAAAGTTTCTATAAAGACACCGCATTTTGAAATCTGAAAATCTCATAATTATAATTTGAACTGATCTTTGTTAACAATGACGTATCCAGGTTGTTAAGATGATGGTAGCCGAATTGTATAAGAAAATGGCAGGGATAAAATCAAACAGACCCTTTGGTAGCAATGATATGTTAAGGTTGTTCGTGAGAGAAACAAATTAATCAATTTAAAACATGTCAGCGATGAAATCAAGCTAACTCATATTGTAACAACAATATAACCAGGTCGTCTGTGATAGAAATTGGAATGAACATCTGAATAAGTGCTAGCGATAAAATCAAGTTAACCATTTTGCAACAACGATGTATACAAGTTGTCTGTGGTAGAACTCAAGTTGATCAATTGAGAAAGACGATAGCGATAAGATCAAGCTAATCATTCGGTAATCACAATGTACTCAAATTGCTTGTGATAGAAATCAATTCAAACAATGAGGAAGATGTTAGTGACAAAGATCAAACTAACAATTTTGTATGGACGATTTACTCAAATTGTCTATGATAGAAATCAAATGGAACAATGAGGAAAGTGTCAGCGATAAAGCTCAAGCTAACAATTTTTTAATGATGTACTCAAATTTTTTGAGATAGAAATCAAATCAAACAATGAGAAAATGTTAGCGATAAAGATCAAGTCAACGGGAGGTAAATGCGTAGTGGTATTTCGCATGAAAAGTTTTCATGTACATTTAGAAAGACATTTTAGGAATTTTAGGAAGTGATCGTGATGCATAGCAAGTCACTTTGATGTATGAAGATGTTGTGTACTGAATCTCAAAATGATTTTGAGAATGATTGTATGATGCGTCATGCTAATGTAGTCATGAACGTTGAGTGAAAAGAGGATATGATGCATTCGACAATGCTATGAAAACTATGTTGCTTTATTTTTTGTTTGTTGTTTGGTTTTTTCTCGAGGTTCCTTTAAATTGCTCATCCACTAGGAACTGCCATTTCCTTCTATTCAACTTTATCCTCGGTTTTTGCTTATGTTGGAGAGACCTTCAGCTTGTTGTCTTGAATATATCTTCTTGGTGGTAGTTGTGCGATGATATGCTTTGTAAGGTGAAGTGATGATGTATGCTGCTTCATCCTTCTTCTCGGTCAGGTATGGGCCCACATGTTTCATAGTAGTATAATTCTTGGTCAGTGCGGTATAATAGGACTTCTTTCTTACTATGCATTTGAAGTGTAATCGATTGGCTGGTTGGCTTAATGAGATCTGAATGTTTCAGACTCCCTGAGATTTTTCCATCAACTCATGCGTAAAAAGTTGATTAATCCGATTCTTGGGTACTCAGATTTCCCCTTCTTCCATGGTGGAAAATTTTTGCCCCCGAAGATCTGTTACTCACTTTCTTTTCTTCGAAACAAAGAGTGATTATATCAATCTTGATTTAAGACGAATGAAAAAATGTTTGAAAAACGTTTATTAGAGAAAAAATTGAAAGCCATATCAAGACTTTGCTTTCGAGAAGTGTGTGCAAACTGGAGAAAATCGTATTTGTGTGGTGGTTGTCATGTTGACAAATTTGGTTTTCTTTTTAATAAGAGAAATGTAAGCCAAACCATGAGAATATCAGTAAGCCCTTGCTCTCATTCTTGCTTTTGATTTTGCTCGCTTTCACTCCCGTTTTGGATTTCACTCATCACTCACTCCTATAGGTGTTTTGAGTGTACGGCACTTCAGTTACCATTAAGATTCTGGTCACCTTGAGACATCGCCTTTATGTCGTGGCCAACTGTGTTCCTTGTGAAGATTTAACCAAATATGGAAGCCCTCGGTATGATTGATTTAGGAGACCTCCATATGGCTTCGCCGCAGACGTTTTTAATCTCCCATGAACTGAGGATTTTGTATGGTATGGCTCCGAACATTAGAGTCTTCTCATCTGAAAATATTGTTTACTCAGATGAGTGTTAGATATGCGAAATGTCGACTTTATCATTGTGAAGTTTCTCGTAGAGGGATTTTGGCTTTGCCCACCAAAGTATGAGATTGACTTGATGGGTTAAGAACCATTATTATTCGAATCTTTTTGTTGACGAAGTCTTGTTCGAAAATACTGGTGGATTTTTCTGGGAATGTATCTTCAGCTGGGTTTGCCCCCCCCCCCCACCCAGTACTTTCCACTAGTCGAGGCTATGATGTGAGTGCAATCTGGCTTGGGACTTTTCGAGATCCTTGTTTGGCCGCTAAATGTTGAATGCTGTGGATTTTTAGCTTATGGCTTTCTCTTAAAATGATGAGTACCTTGGATGATGTGGTTTTGGCTATAACAGCTTTTTTATCATGGAAGTTTCTTGTTTGGAGGTCCTCATTGCTGTATCTTGAGGTTGATCGGCAAAGACCCAGATTGTAAGTCCCACGACATTTTGTTTGTTTTTCTCTCGTCTTGTGTGTGTGTGTGTGTGTGTGTGTGTGTGTGACTTACTTGACTTTGTCATGCTCCCATATATGTTTCACATTTTCCCTGATCTAGCACTTGTATTTGGTATGACTATTATCAAAAGGTGGAGAGTCTCCTTGATGACCGATGATGTGAGTGCCATTTCTCAATAACTAAATTAAATTGGCTATTCTTTTTGGTAAAAGCGGGGATGTTGACGCCATGTGTTTTCCGGTATTTTGCAAATATCTCACAATCGGACTTTGACGTGTAAGTTTAGTGGACATTCTTCGCCTGTAAGAATGTAAGCTCCTGAATCGAGGACACGAGTGTTTCCTGCGTGTGATTCCTATATATGATAAATTATATCCTTGATCTTCCCAATCTTCTAGTCATGAGACTCTATGAGAGTTTTCTTGCCATGATACTAATGTTAGGCTCCCTGTGTATCGGGATTTGGCTATTTGACTTCTTGTAAACTGAGTCTTAATTTGTTGGCGAAAGTCGACTATAGTGGTGACGAGATTCTACAGGTAGCATGATGTTGTATACTCATTGCACCTTTTGACTATTAACTCACATAATTTATGGACACCAATAGGATGTTTATCTCTCGATTTTAGCAAAACACATACACTCTCAACACGAGTGGGAGCTAAATTTATCGATAGTAACATGGTGTTTATAATCGTTCGACACCAGTGGGGTGTTCACATTTTCATAGCATGACAATCTCATGGCTTAACTTGAAAATAAAATCGAATTTGGATGGCTTTCATTTTTGTAGAAAATAAATATGTTTTAAAAAGGACATGAAGCGACATTCATTATTTTGATAAAACATTGATGCAAACTCTTAAATCAAGATTGATACCGTTCACACAATGCTCCACAGAGGTCGAAACGTGAGATACCTTTTTATTTATGATGATAAAAGCAAAAGTGATACATATTTTGCTATGACAAATTATCTCGACACTTTATTTACTAGATAGGATCAACATCATCCTTAAATCAAGCTTTGCCTGGTAGTATATGTCTACTAATTCTCGTGAGTTGGCAGTGGGTTATTGTTGACATCTCGACGCTTTGGCTCTTCTTTGAACTTTAACCAGCCAGTATTCATCATTTGTTGGACCTTGATCTTGAGCGATATGAAATCCTCAGTTGAGTGTCCCGCTACTCCCGAGTGGTAAGCACAATGCTGGTCTGATTTGCACCAATTTGGATAAGGAGGTTTCATAGGTTCACATGGTATTGGGGAGATTAGGTTACTTTGAATCAGTTGAGGGAAAATTTCAATGTATGTGATAGGGAAAGGATTGATTTGGATGGGTTTCCTGTATCTCCCATAATTATTATGGTCTAGCTAATTTGGCGGTGGTGTGACTCGTGTCGGGCTCTAGATGGCTCGTTGAGTAGGAAATTCGGACATTGATTAATTATGGCAGCATTCGCAACGCATGGATGGGCTTGATTGGCCTGAGGTTGATGATCCCACCTTCTTCCTCTTGATGATTCTGTTTGAGCATAATGGACGTTTGCTTTACCCCTTCGGGTTGGTGTTGTTTCTTAGAGGTTTCTGGAGTTTCCATTCGACCTTGCTTCAAACCTTTTTCTATTTGTTCTCCGATTACAAGCATATCCGCAAAGTTGGTTGTGGTAATTCCGACCATGTTGTTGTAATATGGAGCCCTTAGTGTTCCGAAGAAAATTGACATCATCTCTTTTTCTGAAAGTGGAGGTTGAACGTCTGTAGCTTTCTCTCTTCACCTCTGAGCATACTCTCTGAAAGTCTCTTTCTCTTTCTTTTCAATATTCCTCAGATCTTCTCGGTCTGGAGCCAGATCCTGGTTATGCTTGTTATGCCTCATGAATGCATCATCTAGGTCTTGCCATCTTCTCATTTTTGTTTTCTCTAGTTGCATATATACCATCGTAAGGCAGAACTACTCAGGTTGTTTTGGAAGCAGTGTACCATTAGCCTTTCATCTCGGATATGGTTGGCCATTTTGTTGCAGTACATGACCAGATGACTTTTTGGGCAAGTGGTGCCATTGTAACTTTCAAATTCTGTCATTTGAAACTTGTGAGGGATCATGACATTTAGGACTAGACATAGTTTTTTTATGCATCCATAGGCTCATACGATTCAACTCCTTCTATGCTTCTTATCCGTTCATTCATGTGCTCTAATTTTTCTTCTAATATAGCTTCGATTTTATGTTCCTCTTGCTTCTCAGGTTCTCCAGATTTGTCATGCTTTGATGACCCAATGCCACCTTTGTCTACTGTGTTCTTCGAAGGTATAAGGATGAATTTACTACCCAAGATGTTTCCCTGAGGTTGTTCATAGTGATCGTCGTCGTCAAATATGATTTCTTCCTCGTTCGTTGCAATCTCCTTCCCTTTTATTGACAATATGCTCAATATTGTGTTGAGCTGGCTTTTCATCTCATCGAAGCTAGTTAGTTTCTCATCGAACCCCACTAGCTTCTCGTCAAACCCTGTCAGCATTCCTTTGATGTCGTTCAACTCTTTGTGAAATGCCTCCATGATGAACTTGGATTTTGATCTCGTTAAATACTTAAAAGGACGACTGTTTCCTCGTAGGCGAGCAATTTGAAGGAACCCTGACCAATTAATTTTGTTAAATTGACTTGAATGAGTAATGTACTGTATATATGATGTTTATGCAATGCATAAATGCACAGATGATTCATTAGATGCACGTGCACTTTGAAAATGTTTTCATTATTTATTTGAAATGCATAAGAGAAAACACAGAGAGAATAATGTTTATGAGTTTTTTTTTTATATTAAAAAAAAACATTGTTCACACAGACAAATTATTTTGCGATTGGAAGAATATAACACAAGTTATCACATCGTTAGAAAACATACATACAGATAATAAAAGAATAACCCTATTTGGGAAAACCTAAGGCTTTCGGAGGGCATCATGACGTGGTTTTAGGTGGCTTCGGGATATATTTATGATGGTTGAAGGTGGTATCTAAGTCGATGATATGTTGGGTAGGAAATCCTAGGAATTGGCTCCCAAGCTGTACCCCTCTATAGCCCTTTCGAGCTTGCCAGATACCTCAAATCAACCTTGGATTTGAGTTCAACTTGGTTGGAAAGTTTTGCGTGCTTTCCACTACTGTGAAAGTCACGGTACTCCTTTTTCCGTTTCTAATAGGATAGCTCCGGTATAGAGCTTTTATGCATGAATGCAGAATTAGATTGCGAAAATATAATTGCGCAAATAAGAAAGTAAACACCCAACACGTAATAGGTAAATAGAAAACTTATTGAACTTAATTATGTAGCTCGACTCTCGAAGTCACCAGCGGAGTCGATATCTATCGAAACCGTCCCTCCGAGGATCATCGGGGGTCGCGTTCTCTCTATGGGAGTCGCCATCTGTCGCAACCGTCCCTCCGGGGTTCGTCGGGGGTCGCGTTCGCTCTATGGGAGTCGCCATCGATCTTACCTGGAGTGGATCGAACACTCTTTGGGTCGAGTCTAACCTAAGGGTCAAAACCGAGATATGGTCTACGGTTAAGAGATTCGGGTTCGGGAGTACGGTTACGTGTGGGGAAGTGAAATCACACCCCACAACGCCATAAATCGGTACTACTTAAATTTGATAAGTTTTATATTAGTTGGGTGTATTTTTAGTAATAATTTTTGTAATTTTAGGGTCCCACTGGACCATTAAATAATTTTATCGTATTAGTTTAAGATTTAATTATACGCCCTTTGACTTAAATTTTAAAGATAAATTGATTAGTTGGACTCAAACCTTGTCGGTTGCCTACGTACTCGTTAGACGGGATCAAAGTCCACGTAGTTCGTTAGGAACTTTGATCATTTTAATTATCACTTTTACCACGTTCCACTGAACATAATTATCGTATTATAATTTTGTTAATAAAACTCCATAGATTATTATGATGTTATGACAATAAATGCAAGGATTTTAGTTATTAGGAAGTATTTTGACGTATTGGAAAAGAAACGAGATAAACTTAATCCGCATTCAACATTTCGTATTAAGGACTTTAAACAAATAAAACAAAGCGGGGTGATTATAATTATACATGATGGGCCAGAAGCCCAACTAGTTAAGTTGTCAAGCAGAGACCGCATTTGTTGTTGAGGACGCCGGTTCGAAATTCTCCACCTACATTTTTTTATTCTCGTTTTGGTGCACTGAAGGGGGAAGGGTATTTTGGTAAGGAGATGGATATCCATTTACTTGAGAGTGTTTTAACTACACATGCAAAAATTGGATCTATTTGTAAAGCTTGGAAAATTTAGGTACAAAAACGTAATTTTCTATTGATATTTTGAGGATTTATATGCAAAAAAAATTAAATTTAGGTACTAAATATGCATATCTATTAAGTTTAGGTTTCCAATTGGGTTGGATAGTAAAAAACTCATGGGTATGGGCAAAATTGTCATCCCTACCAACAAGGACGTTGCAAAGGGAGGGGACGAGGATAACAACTCTCTTGTTCGGGGACCTTCTGCTACTTTGGCCATGATATTGTTCGATTTGAATACAAGGGTTTCACTTCTCTTTTACATCATAAACGTTGGGGGAAATGGTGGGGGGATTTCTATGGAGGCACTAGGTAGAGCCTGGAGATGGGATCAACGGTGGAGAAGTCGCCTGAAGAGCTCTTGCACAGTCTGCTGGAGTGAAAAAGTTAATCTGCTAATTTGAAAATTCGTTAGCATATACTAACTGACATCCAAAATACATGAACTAGTATCCAAGTACTAAAGTATCTAGAGAGCACAAACTAGTATTCAAGATTTGCTAACTGATATCCACCATGAATCAACTATTATCCCAAATTCACAAACTAATATATAGACAACACAGAATAGTATACATACAACACATAATTAGTATCCAGATAACACATAAGAGTATCCATATTGAATACTAGTTGGTTTGATTGTGGATATTAGTTGGTAATTGATTGGCTGAATACTAATTATGTGAGTTGGATACTAGTTTTGTGATGTTTTGAATACTAGTCTGTGCTATCTAGATAGTTTAGTAAAATCAGCAGACTTGGATACTAGTTCATACATTTTGAATATTAGTTAGTAAATACTAACGACTTATGCAGTTAGCAAAATAACTCTTTTGTCGCCGGAGAGGGATGACGTGTTTTTAGATTCGTTTTCTTTTTCCTCTCTTTCGGCCGGAAAACGAAGTTTAGCAGTTATACAAAACTTTAATTAAATAATAAAAAATACAAAACACAAAAGTGCAGAAAACGGGACACGATTCCGTCTGTTTGGGTACTGCGATTTGGTCCCAATTTTATGGGTCATCGAGTTTGAAGTTGGATTTAATCAATCCAGATCATTCCACATCATCATCCATGTGGATCAATCACATACAGCGGCACCGGTACCTCACATTTAATTTTACTGCGACACCATAGCATTGGCAAAAAAAAAAGAGAAAACCCTTATTGATTAGACGGTAGGGATGGCAATAAAACCCGAACCCACGGGTACCCACCCGACCTAACTCGCTCAATGCGGGCAAAACCCTTATTGAGTGGTTTTAGGCCGGGTCCGGGTTTTAACCCAATCACTATTCACCGGGTTGGATGTGGGTTTAGGTAAACCCGCCTCATGGGTACCCGCCCACACCCATATAATTAATTTTCTCGGTAGATTTAATATTCTAAACAACTAATCATATTTACGTTTGGGGAGACATGTCGAATTTTTTCTTTCTAATTGTGTAGAATGAAGTTGATGTTATCGATTGGAGAGTGAATAAACTTAATTGACAAGGAGGAAGAAGCTTTCAATTAATCATGTTATTTATGGATAATTTGTGATTTGTTTAAATTTTCTTGAGTTTTATAGATTTGTGTTAAACCATTTGTATAGTTAATTTGTGATTTGCTTGAATTTTTTAGAATGATGTTTTATATATGGATAATTTGTATTGAGAGACTGATAAGGAGTAAAGGGAATTTGGAAATTATGTTTTGGTGCTTATTGACCCACAATTGCTAAGGAGTAAAGGGAATTTGGAAATTATTGGTACTTATTGACCCAAATTATTTTAAACTTCCTTTCCAAATATCAATGTGATGCTACAATTATTATTTTTTTTAAATTAGCATAATTGCCTAGACAAAATGTGGTGTCTACACATATGGTTGAAGATATAAGTTTTTATATGTAACGCAATTCAGTACTCCGTGATTGTTTGCAGGCGGTGGTTTCAACAGTATTGTGATGTAATTTCAGTACGATTCCTCAAACTACAAATCAAATTGCTCATGCAATGACGGGAAAAGACTGTTTCTTTGTCTAGTTTAGACTCTAGTGTTATCATCTTTAATTTCATTAGTCATTGGACTTGAGTTTTAATTTGCTTAACAAAGAATTTTTTTTTTTTTTAACTGACGCGTTATCGCGTGAGATGATCTCAAACCAACAGTCTTGTTGGCTCCCAACGACCTTAACCGGATAAAAACACCTATCCTAACACATATATAAACTATATAAGCAAAGGAAATTAAGGTCCACTGTCACATTATTTATTTGTTTGGTCATCTATTCAAGAGCACTTCTACTATGCTATATAGTATTGGTGCTTTAATGTACAACTTAAAGTTGTACCATAACATTAAATGTATAAGTTTAGGTTGTACCATAAAGCAATTTGTACCATTATGTTATGGTACAACTTTACAACTTGAAGTTGTACCATCACATAAAGGTACAAGTCCAAGTTGTACCATAAAAGAATTTGTACTAAAAGTATAGGTATAATCTAAAGTTGTACCATAACGTAACTGTACAATTTTAAGTTATACCATAAAAGCAAAATCCTGTAGCACCAATACTATATAGCATTGTAAAATTTCTCATCTATTCAATTGGGCGGTTGGAATCAAAACCTAGGTCGACATTCCAATTTATGATATGGTCTTAATGTTGAGCTTTCTTCTTCTCCTCCCCTCGAATATCACATACATTGGTCCCCCTCCCATTAATTCCCCGACTACAATCGCCATCCATCCATAAATTAGTACTACGTACCCAATTCCCTCTATAATGATGGAAAAGGAGACACATCTCATAGACACATATTGTGTAGATGCCCCAAGTAAATAGAGAGGCAGAGGGAGTAAAAACCAAAACCACTACCACCACCAGCAAGTCCGAGCCACGTTGCTGCTAAAACAGCCTTAGAAAACTGGTGTTAGCAACCCTAACCAAACACCACCAACAGCTAGGTCTGGAATATATCGGTTTAAACCGATAAGAAAATTAACGGATATAAGCTTTCGGTTCCATTCCGTTTTGGTTTAAACCGAAAATCGGTAACAAAACAAAACCGCCATTCTAATAGGTGTGATGCATGGCTTGTAAGGTCTAACTATTTGATGCACTCTCCCTTTGTTCGGTTTCTTCGAACCGAAACCGAACTGTTACAAGACTTATCGAGTTTCATAAACTGTATAATGATGAGAATTAACCGTTTTGATTTTATAGTTCTTACCTTAACGGTTCGGTTAATCAAACTGAACCGAATTGACACTCATACCACCACCAACAACAACCTTTACACAAAAAGAAAAGGGAAAATTAGTT